AAAAGAGGGGGTTTTTTTTTTTTTTTTTTTTTTTTTTTTAAAACTGAAAACATTTTGATAAGAATAGTTTGTGAAATCTATTTTCATGAGTAATACCTCTTCTGCTTTCAAAATGAAAAAAAGTCAAAACATCTCTAGACTGTTTTGATTTTTTACTTTGAGTTTTTTATTACTCATATTCTTCATTGTGCTGCCCCATCTTCTTTTGCCATTTATTACTTTGAAAATTATTCTTCAAAATAGTTTTTAAAAACCAAAAACACAACAAACACACGTGTCTAGTGTTTTTTCTTCTTCTCTGAAGCTACAATTTTTAGCTTTTGAGAAAAATAGTAAAATAGCTTTTTCAAAAGCTACCATATTCTTTTTCGTTCCTAAATAGACGTGCATAATTATAATAATTACATAATATCTTTTAATTAAAAATGAAAAAGCACAAGCAAATTAACAGTAGGGATTGTATTCTGTAACACATCATTAGGCATCATATATCAGTTATATTGTATTATTAAAAAAAATCTCTTTTCCTCCTTTCCTACCCAAATTCCCTATGATTTCAACAAATTCATGTCATGGAGCATTACAATGATATATTTATTTTCAATTTTGTCTTGTTCCCTTTTTTACATTTTTCATATTGACTTAATTTTGATCTTTCATATGGTAACAGGAAGGGGCAACGAAGGAAGAGATTGACCAGTTGCCAAAATATAATTTCAGAATAATAAAGGAATTTAAGAAAGAAGGTGATATTGAAGAAACTTCCAGAGGAAAAATGATTGAATCTGACAGTGAGACAGCCAGCGAACATGTTATTGCCTTAGAAGATGCAGTAAGTTTCTACTGTGTTAAAATAGAATGATCCGATATTCTAAAATGTTATGCTGCGAAACACCATTTTTCACAATTATTCATGCCTTGGTCACAAAGCTTTGAGGTTTATGCATGATAGTGTTTTCACATAAATTGTTTGTTTAAAACTTATCATGTATGGCTAACTAAACAGTTGCATACCTCTTGTTACTATCTATCAATTTTCTATATTATAAATTCGAGTATTTATTTTTTAATGTGAGGAATATCTATGGAACTCTCTTCTTCCTTACGATATGTGACTTAATTATTATTTAGTACTTATTTTTATATATTTAAAAAATAGTTTATTAATTATTTCAAAATTTCTTTTCATGTTAAGATTTCCTTTTTTCCCCAAATTCCAGCTTTATTTAATTTTTAAAATTCTGTCTCAAATTTTAGTTATATACTTTAGAGTTAATTCTTTTAAGTTAACTTTTTCTGCTTAAATTTAATTTACTTATTTATTATTTATTTATTTAAATTAATCATACACATTATTATTATTATTTAAATATTTTTCTTTTGATTTATATGAATTTAAAAATACCAACATAATGTTCTGGATACTAGCTAGTCAGTCATATAATTGTAAGCTCTTGTGCTGTTGACTGTTGTGCATATGTATAGAGAGCCTTGCTATATTTTCCTACAATATCTTCTTGATACTTTGTGAAAAATGTATAAAATGAAAAGATAAATGTGCTAATATCTTTGAAACTATGACAAATTTTAAATACCTTTTTGATTAGGAAGTAAGAGGATTTGTAGAAAGTGAGGGGAGGATTTAAAATTATTCTTTACACATAACATTTGCACAATCGTATCTAAATGGTGTCATACTAAACTATATTTTTTTGTTTATTCATGATAAACTATTTAAAATATAATATCTTATTGGTTGTACTTTGGACCTTTGTTCTTAAAGTTGGGATCATGCTGCACCTGCTAGCCCTCCCAGCTATATAGGCTGATGGATGGTTTCACTTTACCAATTTTATAACTGCAGATTTTAGTTTTGCTTAACAAATCCCACTTCTGACATGAATGATTGTTGTAAAATAACAGGAATGCTGTATCTGCCTTTCTGCCTATGATGATGGTGCTGAACTTAGAGAACTTCCTTGCAACCACCATTTTCATTGCACATGCATTGACAAATGGCTGCTAATAAATGCTACCTGCCCTCTCTGCAAGTTTAACATTTTGAGGACTGGCAACCACCATCAAGAAGTTTGAACAAGTTCCCTGTTGCATTGCATTGCATTGATTCGGAGAACAGTGAACAAAACCCTTTTCACATCGTCAACCACGCACTTTGTTGCAAGCAGCACCAGAATGAGCTAGCTTTGTTTTTTGGTGCAAAGTAGTATGTATATTTCTCCCCTAACCATATTGGGAACAGTATGTTTCCAGGAGAATGTATTCAAGCGTTTGAGTCCTCATTTCAGCTGATGACATGACCAGGTATAGGCACAATATCCTGCATTAGGAATTGCATTTATTGCATAAGGTCCCAAATTTGTTGTGTATAACTGTATCTTGGAAAATGACAAGGTCATGGAGGCTAGAATGAGAATATCCAAATCCGTGTATATTGTTGGTCCTGTAATTTCATTATAGTAAAATATAAGTGCCATGTTCAATTGATCTCACGGAAAACAAAATAGGCAGTTTCCAGTCTCTGTGGTGAATGAATAAAATCGTTTTTAACTTTGGAGCATTAATTACTACTTATTGCTGGTGATTAATTGGAGCATACTTTGGTCATTTTCCTAGTGGTAAGTTGCATACTATGGTGAAAAAGCCTATATATATACAAAACCCTAGAACCAATTAACCAACACATGACACAGATTAACCACCTTATATAGTTAACCACACAAAGATTGAGAGAAATAAATAATACAAAATACACCAAACGTGATCTTACCACTATCTAAACACCAAACTAGTCATTTACAATGACATGCCACAAAAAAGGCTCCATATTCAACCTACAATTCAAACTCCAAAATTCTTTTATATCATGAAAGGCATGAAAACAATCAAGAATAAGAGAACAAGACATGAAAGTAAAAGAAAACTAGAGAAAAATACGTGAGTAAGCACTTGGTAACATATTAACTTTACCACCGAATAAACAACGTCAAGCTCTACAGCTGGGATAACATGAGAATAAAAAAGTTATTGGAATTACTTGACATTTATTAATTAGGAGGCGTTAAGATTTATTCATTTTCATTTCTTCTTTTGCAAGTTGTTTTAGAGGATGTAAACACCAAAATGAGTTGCATGTAGAATTGTTTTGTTTTATTATTATTTTTTATAATTATTTATAATATTGATATAAAATATTTATTACTATAAGTATTTAATATATATATATATATATATATATAAAAGTTGAAAAGTATGTATAAGGTGAATATTTTCTTTTCAACATAATTTATTTTATTACTTAAGGTTATGATTTGAATTATAGATAACTTAGTTTAGGAATACGAGTGATAACCATTGTACTAATGGCAAATTTGAGACTCTGAGTCAATGAAGACAATTTTTTTTTAAAAAATAATTATGATCATCATATATATGAAAAATAAAATATAAATTTTAAAATCATAAAAATATAATATATCTAGTCAAATAAATTACGTCTTATAATTGTCCTCAACGTGATCTCATGTTTTGAAACCGTTGGATGATGAGATCATTATTAATGTTATTAAACACATCTCAATATAAGTTACAAGACAATCATTCATCCATATATCTCCCATTCGATTACGCAATTTTCATAATAGAAAATACTCTTTCTACAATTGTGGCAACAAACAAAATCATTGCCAACTTCAAAAGAAGATAAAATAATGGATAAACAATATGCCTACCAATTTTAACAAACTTTTTTGAAAGATTACCAATTCCTTTCAAAGATGTAAATTCCACATTACTATATACATAAATTATGTAAGTCTCAAGCAGGGATGGCAATAGGGCCCCATGGGGCGGGTAATAGTAAATCCGTCCCTGCCCCGTTGGATAAAAATTGGTCACATACCCATTCCATATTCGCGCGAGTATCCATTAAGCGAATATCCATGAATTTTTTGAATACTCACGGATATTCATAGATATTTATAAATTTTTTAAGAAATTAAAAAAAATTATGTTACAAATAATTTTAAGTTTATATTTAATGTCATTGAAATATTAAAAATAAAAATTTAATGTTAATTTTTAACTTGTATTTAACATTAATTTTGTTGAAATAATAATAAAAATGCAAGATAATCAATAACTTAAAATACATCAATCTCACAAGTAAGTAAAAGTCTCATATCAGAAAGATGAGAGAGTGTAGTTTTAGGGTTATGTGATATAAGGATAATTAGGATATTTAAGAAATATTATTAAACGGGTACCTGCGGGTAAGAATATCATCATACCCGCCTCCGCCCCCGCCCTGTTTATAAACGGGTAAAAAATTATCCATTCTCATTATTTACAGGTACCCAATTAGTCTATCCATTTATTATCTGTAGCGAATTTTGCCTGTAGATACCTGCGGGTGCGGGTATTTTTGTCATCCTTAGTCTCAAGTTGATTATCAAGCATCACTAAATCAGTTGAAGAAAATTCATGTAGATAGAACTTTGCAAATTCAACTAGCCTTGCATTATCAAAAGTAAAGAGCAAATTAGTTGAATTCAAACAAACCAAAGGAGCAATTGTGTATTTGCCTCATTGAAATGGTCATTCGATTATTGAAGTTCCATATCTACAATAGTATAAAGCAATTCAACATGATAATAGTGTTTTGTTGTGGTAGTTTGAGCTTTCTCTCCACGTCGTGATCTCGCTTTAAGAAAAAATATATCTTTCATATTAGGAATGTTAATGGCATGCACATTGCAAAATAAAATTACCAATTTCAATAAAGACACTCACCTATTATCCTTTATAGTTTGTAATCATTGCTTTGTAATGTCAATTAAGTTCATAACATTGATGATATCTTATTTTTTTAATGCTTTTGATAATTCATTTGAAATACCCAACACATTTTTCATCAAAGTAATGTGAATACAAAATCAAAATCTTCTAACAAATATAAGAGACTATTAACTTCATCTCTTTGATACGCATTTGATCCACTTATTTAATAATTTCAAGAACATCAATTATAGTTAAATATATCAACAAAGTTGCATAATGTGAACTCCAACGAGTATCAACAATTTGTTTCAAACTAGTTTTTTAATTCAAACCTTGTTCGCTAGGAATTTCTCATTTTCCTAATGTCTCTCTAACATTGACTATTTGTTTTCACATAGTATATCATGTCATTTGCAAGATCCCCCGACAACATTTAATAAAGTAGACACCAAATTAAAAAGAGAGGCAACTTGAATGTGATTTTTGGATATAAAAACTAACGTAAGTTGTAATTGATGAGTAAAACAACGTACATAAAATGCATGGATTCTCCCTTAAGATTAAACTTTTTGAGACCAAAAAATCCACCTTACATGTTATCAATACCATTATAACCTTGTCCACAAATTCTTGATACACTAAACCTATGTTTACAAAGCAATTCATCAATTGCCATTTTCACAGATAAAGTTGTAGTATCTTTAACATGAACTATGCCAAGGAAGGTTCAACTATACTACCATTTTTGTTAACATAATGCAATGCAACAACCATTTGCTCTTTATTTGATATGCCACGGGTTTCATCAACAATAATAGCAATGTGTTAATTATTAAATTGCATAAATTAATATAAATAAAATATAATTTAACTTTAGCATATATATATATATATTTGTAAAACATATACGTGTAAAATTGTATGGTTTAGTGGTTAAGTTAATTGTCTAGACTCTCTTAACCATTGATCAATCCATGCTAAGAACCATTTTATTATATTTTTTTTTTAAATTTAACTTTTTATTTATAATCAAGGGATTGTATCTGTGTGATTTGCCACTGCATTGTATCAACCAATGTTGGTCGGAAGCCAAAAGATACTCAACCTATTTAACAATGTGTCTTCTTATACACCTAGGATTCACTCATTCACATAACCTTTTCCCAAAGTTTATAACAAACATCTTCTCATTAGAGTCATTATGTTGCATAGTTGCATCATTGAAAGCAACACATGTAAGTGAATCATTAAGTGTGTTTGGAAAAACGTTGAATACAATGTAGCTCACATTTTTTCTAGGATTAAATATGTTTTTATTCCTTATAACATTTGCAAGTTTTGATTTTAGTTCCTGTAAATTTTTTTCTATATTTTTCATCTCTATAAAATTAAAATTATTATTTTTAGTCCCTATTTTTATGTAAGCATTTCTTAATTACTTTTTATTTATTAAAATATTAAGTAACCATCTTAAGTATTTATTAAAACAATTCTTGATATTATATTAATATTTAATACTTCTAAAATAATTTATAAATTATAAAAATAAATGTTATTTTATCATCTTAAACTGATCATTAGAGACTAAAAATGGTTAATTTAAATTTTAGAAGAATAAAATCAAAGAAAAATATTTTACAAAAATTAAAATCAAAATTTAATTATTTTTCAAGGACAAAAATAATATTTATAAATTTTAAAAAATAAAAAAATAAATTTTTTTAGAGAGATCAAAATTAAAATTATTAATTTTATAGAGACAAAATATATTTAAATCTTTTTTCTAATCAATGATATAATTCCTTTGTCCTTTTGAGCATTAGAACACATGAAAGTCTATATTTTAAAGTATTTGAATGTGAAACCAAACATAGTGTAATCAAACATGTCGTAAGTCCTTTGGTTTTCATTGTTGGCGGATGTTGAAAAGATCAAAATACCATATCTTTTTCTTTCTCTTATCAATCACAAATTGGACAAGAAATTTCCTAGGCAAAATCATCACATGCAAACATTTTGTAATAAATAATGTTTAAAGCTGAAAAAATACAGTTTTGTTCTTCCACATTTTAACCACATTTTTGCTTTATTGCTGACACCACTAGCTTTTGAAAAACCACGTTTTTTTTTATAATCATTATTCCCCACACGATTTTTTTTAGAGTGGTCACCATCTTATCAGTATCTTGAACATTTTAACAAAGTATAATTAAGGCATTAGGAAGTGTTTAATGGAGGCCCTGTATTCCAACCAGTGTTAAATATTATCACTATATCCTCATTTTTTTCAACTCATTCGTAATATTTTTTTTTGAATAATTGAGACCCCATGCATTTATATATATATATATATATATATATATATATATATATTTATTTATTTGTGTAGAAGAAGGGCTAGCTAACTTTTGCATCACTTGAACTCAACGATGTTTCCATACAATTTCATCATTACTTTAATATATTTAGTAGCTACAAACCAAACCAATACAAACACCAGAATCTCAAAATCTTGCTTTTTCTCGACAAACATTGACCCTTTATCGGTACAATATAAAGGCGTTGTTCAATGTAGAATTAGACATATGGTACCGGCCGAAATGAAGAGGACAATAAACTGATAAAGTGAATATAACTCTTTAAATACGACAAGGCATGGCAACAGGGCGGGGCAGGGCGGGGCGGGGCGGGTTTTACGTTTCCCGTCTCCCACCCCGTAAATTTAATCCGTTCCCGCTTTCGATATTAGAATGATAAAAATACTATTATCCGTGAGTAACTGTGGATAAAATTCGTTACGGATAATAAATGGTACACTAATTGAGTACTCATGAATAATGGAGATGGATAATTTTTTACCCGTTTATAAATGGGACAGGGCAGGTATGATGGTATCTATACCCGTGGGTACCCGTTTAATAACATTTCTTAAATATCCTAATTATCCTTGTACCACATAACCTTAAAATTACACTCTCTCATCTTATTTTCTTTTCATAGCCGCACAACCCACACATTAGTCATCACACATTATGAGATTGAATTATTGTAACTTTGTGATATGAGACTTTCACTTGTGAGGTTGATGTATTTTAAGTTATTGATTATCTTGTTTTTTTATTATTATTTCAACAAAATTAACGTTAATTACAAGTTCAAAATTAATATTAAATTTTTATTTTTAATATTTTAATGATATTAAATATAAACTTAAAATTATTTGTAATATAATTTTTTTAATTTCTTAAAAAATTTATAAATATCCATGGATATCCACGAATATTCAATAAATTCATGGATAGCCGCTTAACGGATACCTGCACGGGTAGGGCGGATATGGGGCCAATTTTTATCTAGCAGGGTGGGGACGGATTTACTATTACCTGCCTCCATGGGGCCCCATTGCCATCCCTACTCGATACCGCTGGGGTAAAATTTGGGTACCCATCCCTGTCCCCAGCGAGGTTCGAGTTTCCCCGCCCCACCCCTGCCCTTGCTCTTACCTTTTTTTTTTCTTTCTTTTTTTTCTTTTTTTCTTTTAAATAAATATGAATAAATTTTAAAAAAAAATAATACAAATTTTTACATATAAATATTTCTAATTTTGGTTTATATATATATATAAATAATTTTTTAATTATATTATTAAGCAGAACGGGAGCGGGGGCGGGGACGGGGATACAACCCTGTTACATTATTAATTACTTCAATAAAATCAATCACATAAGTCATTGATTTAAATAAAACTAAATTCTAGAAACTAGATACTCAACAGTCTTTTAAACAAGATCTGAGTAGTCTAGTAAATGAAAAAAAAATACAAGCTGCATTTGGGTTACCATTTCATTAAACATAACTCACTTTTTTTTTCAATTAATCCATCAGTATTATTACTTGTCTACTTTGTGTTTACATAATTAGATGATCTAATTATCAATCAGATTCTCTCATAGAAATCAATTACAAAACCATATTAATCTTGATTTTTTTTAATATAATAACTTGAAGATCCTATGCATATTTCTTTACCATTAGACTGACCAGAAAACTGGAATGCCAGTAACAACTCCACCAGAGCTTGGGAAATTCTTTTGAATGTCCACCATGGTTCTCTCTTCATCACACTCTGTTGAAGCCTTTACCACCCTCACTGAGAAATTGATAACCCCGTTTCTCCGACCCTTCCCATCCCAAAGCCTATAACTCAAGAACTGAACCCTATTATTCCCTGCCACAAAACCGCCAAGAAAATCATCAACCGGTATTCGTGCAGCTCCCACGCTTCGAACGCCCAACCACGTCTTGCATTGCACCTCCAACGTCACGCACTTGGCTCCATCCACCATGAACCTTTCGTTCCACAAAGGGTTGCTCCCACCTTCTTCTTGTGTTGTGAAGAATCTGGTGCATGACTGCGTGTGAACAACCACGTAAGCGTCCTTTCTTATTGGCTTCCCCTTCATGCAGAGACAAGGTAATAAATAAGGTTGTCATACATTTATATTTCACTTAATTTTTTAATTAATTTACATATGTAAATTAATATGTATTTATTAAAAATAAAATAAAATAAGGTAAAATATTAAGAATATTAAAATCATTTTATAAAAATTAAAAATATATTTTTTAATTTACGTAAAATAATTTTAAATAACTATTATAAATGATGGGATGTAGTATAATATAGTAGTAATTTTTGACTTATCAATCTTCTAGTTTTTGAATTGTTTATCAATTGAATTATACACCAATTCAATGAATTTAATTTTTCTTTAGTTACATCACGTTGGTTGAAAATCATTAAAGTCAGTTAAAGTTAGAATAAAATGTACAAAATTTTAAATTTTAATTTTAATACTGTCATTATAGTTATGACTGATTTAAAAAAAAAAAGTACCTGGGTTGATTTTAATAATACTTGTGCTTGCCAGGTTTGTAGAAAAATTAAAAGAACATGAAAATTGGTATGCAGATGACAGTATTCTGAGAAATTAATCTTAATTTAGTTGCCACTATATCAATAGATAAATTAATCTTAATAAAGTAGTACATAAATTTGTGTAATTATCACAAGAGAATTCTGAGAAATATGATAAAAAGAATGAATCACATTAAGAAAAAAATATAAAATATATAAAAAATAATATTGTATATATATAATATTGACGGATAAGACATTTCAATTCCTTTTTCCCCCTCGGATCACACGTAGTTTTAAGAAATTTGCATAATGCTGCTTAATTTAATAACTTTGAAAATTCTTAGTCATCAAAAATATGATGATAAAACACTTTTTTTTATAAAAAAAATAGTCAGATGATGATAAAAGAAAAAGAAGTTAAATTTTACAAGTATACATATGAATATATATATATATATATATATATATATATATATATATGT